CTAGAAGATGTTAGGTACTCAGCTGTGACAAAATCAGATCCTATCCATTCTGTAACAGATATGGTTGTTCTTTTATGGTTGCTGATGCAGAGTGGCATATGCAATATGTCTGCTTTTTAGAAAAAGGTACTTCTCTATCTCTTGGTGGCACACACAGGTGATTGGTCTCCAGAGTGAGGACAATCATCAGATGCAAAATGCTTGATCTTTCTTTTCCACCGAACACCCAGCTCAGACATTCCTGGCTCAGACCACCTTATACTGCACCTCTTCATGTCCATACCACAACAGAGCTGCTACCAGTGATAAGAGAAATTTTACAAGCTGACCTACACTAGGAAGAGGTCATTAGAACAGTGTTCTAAAACCAAGTACTGCCCTTAGGAGGGGAGGCCCATGTAGCATGGCATACTCTCTGCTAAATGCATAGGGGGCACATGTAAGATACCGAGCAACTGTAGAGTTGTTATTTGTTGAAAAATTCCATCAACTCCCTCTGAGCGACATTTGGAGTGTGGATCATTAGGCAAATGGTCACTGTATGATCAGCAAACCAAAAATAATTCTATGAATTAATAAGGATTCATATAGCTGTGGGGGGTTAAATGAAATGATGACACTTAATATAATCTAAATATCTGATATCTCTTAAGACCAGTGTTGTGGGGGTTTTGATGTGGTTTTTTTTTTGCCTTTTCTGCTGCTCCCCCTGTATTCTACTGTGCTTCTTTAAATCTACCCTGTTACAAATTGCTTTATAATCAGACTAGTTTTATTTTCTTTATGTAATTCTCTCAGGAACTCTCTGAAACCGTGTAAATACAGTAACTTTGCTTAAGTTAACTCATGTGAAGTTGGGCAAATACTGACTAATTACAGTTACTAAGTACTAATTTTACAGACAGTTTATTTTATAAAACCTTTGGGGTGAAGTACTTTAGTACTGCCAGAACAGTACTTGGCCAGAATGCTATACTTATTGGGGTACTAGGGTATTGTGCCTGTACTTTGCAGAAGCAGCAGAAAGGCATGCATGGTGGGTAGTGTAACCATAGTGCCAGATGAACAAAGTGACAGTCTTTCATGTTGTGTATTAAAAAATGCTCTTTCTATGCATTAGTATTTGTGAATGTCTACAGTTTTGTTTGTGTGGAACTTAAAGAGGTACAGCTAAATACGTTGAAAAGTGATTTTAGGATTTCAGGGAAGACTAGTTTTGAAGGGCAGACTCAAGCATTTTAGATTAATTTCCCTGAAACTGAAGTAAGAGCATTCTAGTTACCTTTTTGTCCAGCAAAAAGACAGACTGTTTAGAGTTCAAGTCAACTTGGTGAAATCCATTTGTAAAATCTTCTTTGATAACTAATTTTGAAGAACTAATGAATTTACAGAAAGAAATAGCATGTGTTTAAGGAGAACTTGGGGCAAACAAACAAATTGGGCAATATTAATTGCAGCTAATCTGTCCTGCTGCAGTGGTGTCAATGGTATTCACCAAAGCATATGAAAACAGAGGAGTGATAGGAAATGGCAATTTGAAACAAATAAACATCAAATACTTACTGCGTGTTGATACAGTGTGTACATAGCTGCATCCTTCTGAAATCCTGCATGTCTATAAAACATGATAACAGTGTACTTGCTGCTAATTCATCATGGATACTTGGAGTGACTATATCAATAACAGTCTTCCCAGTTCATGAAAGTGTGTTACTTCTTCCTGAAGGCATAAGTGATTAAATAAAGTCCCATCAATTTTGTTTGCCATAGAAACACTCACATAAGTGTCACTGAGAGTTTCAGTGACCAGCTGTGGTCGATAAAGCCTTTCAGGCCCTTTCGAGGAGCCAGCATGGTCAGCACGGTTTAAGTTGTACAGGTCATTCTTTGGCTTCTTAAGCCTAAGTACTTCCTAAAACTGGGTCACTGAGATATTTTGAATCCATCTGGGTGATAGCTAGTCACTGGAATAAGAAGGAATGTGAAATATAAAAGTTTTCTTTTTAATCCCAGAGGGGAAAATAAAATCTTTCAGTAAATCCTTTGTGCTTCTGAGTACTTTGTCTTAAAGCAGATTTAGATGTAAGGCAGAGGCTCAGAAGCCTCGATTTACTGATTTCTAGCTTCAATTTGGGAATGTATATTTGCATATACTTTGAAAAGAATCACAGAACTGTTAGGATTTGGAAGGGAACTCTGGAGATCATCTAGTCCAACCCCCTGCCAAGGCAGCCCCATCTACAGCAGGTTACGTGTCCACATGGATTTTGAATGTCTCCACAGAGGGAGACCCCACAAGCTCCCTGGGCAGCCTGTTGCAGTGCTCTGCGACTCTTAACACAAAGAAGTCTTTTCTCATGGAGGTGGAACTTGTTTTCTAGTTTATGGCCATTACTCCTCATCCTGTCACTGGGCACTGCTGAAAAGAATCTGGCACCATCCTCTTGGCACCTGCCTTTGAGATACTTGTAGGTATTGATGAGATCCCCTCTCAGTCTTCTCTAGACTAAACAGGCCCAACTTCTGCAGTCTCTCCTCATAAGAGAGATGCTCCAGAACCCTGATCATCTTTGTGGCCTTCTGCTGGACCCTCTCCAGTAGCTCCTTGTCTTTCTTGTAGTGAGGAGCCCAGAACCAAACACAATACACCAGATATAGCTTCACTAGGGCTGAGTAGAGGGGCAGGATCACCTCCCACCACCTGCTGGCCACACTCTTCCTGATGCACCCCAGGATACCATTTACCCTCCTGGCTGCAAGGGCTCGCTGCTGGCTTGTGGTCAACCTGTCATCCACCAAGATTAACAGGTCCTTCTCCTCAGAGCTGCTTTCCAGTAGGTCAGCCTGTTCTGGTACTTGGGGTTATTCTTCCCCAGGTGCAGGACCCTATACTTGCCCTGTTGAACCTCATTAGGTTTCTCTCTGCCCAACTCTCCAGCCTCTCAAGGTCCCACTGAATGGCAGCACAGCCTTCGGGTGTATCAGCCACTCCCCCCAGTTTCATATTGTCAGCAAACTTGCTCAGGCTACATTCCATCCATTCATCCAGGTTGTTGATAAACAAGTTGGACAAGACTCAAACCAGTACTGATCCTTGGGGAACACCACTGACTGCAGGCCTCCAACTGGATTCTACTCCTCTGATCACAATCTCTGAGCTCTACCGTTCTTGATCCACTTCACTGTCTATTCATTTAACCCATGTCCTGAGCTTACCTATGAGGAAGTTGTGGGAGACAGTGTCAAAAGCCTTGCTGAAGTCAAGGTAGACAACATCCACTGCTTTATGCTTGTTGACCTGTCCTGCCATGCCATCATAGAAGTCTATCATGTTGATCAAGCAGCATTTCCCCTTGTTGAATCCATGCTGACTACTTCTTTCCTTCAACATGGTTGGTGATGACCTCTGGGAGGATCTGTTCCATGACCTTTCCAGGGACTGAGGTGAAGGCTGATGGGCTGTCGTTTCTCCGGTCCTCCTTCTGGCCCCTTTTGAAGATGGGAGTAACATTGGCTTTCCACCAGTTATCAGGCCTCTCCTGTTCTATGTGTTTTTTAAAGGATGTTGGAGGTTGGCTTAGCAACAACACTTATCAGCTCCATCAGCACTGGTGGGTGCATCCGTCTGCCTAGACCATCTCTAACTCAACCCTCTGTGACCAAAGGGAATTCTTCCTTTCTCCGGCCTTTTCTTACCTCCAAGATCTGGATTCCTGTGGGCTGGCCTCAGCAGTAAGAACTGAGGCAAAGACGGCATTCAGTAATTCTACCTTCCCTGTGTCTTGCATTACCAGAATGCACTCATCTGATTCAACAGTAGCCCCAGATTTCCCCTAATTTTCCTTTTACTGATGATGTACTTGTAGAAGCTCTTCTTGTCCTTAATATTCCAAGTGAGCCTTGGCCTTCTTTGTGGCATCCCCTGCATACTCTTGACAGTGTTCAGAAGAAACTGGAAGAGGGAGTGGCTGTGGGTGTGACATTCTTGTTAAGAGAATGAAAGTTTTGGAAATACATTGCACTATTCCACTGCTAAAGTATTCTACTCTTGGCATAAAGTACAGTAAGCACAGTCTAATTGTTTCCCCCTTCAATGTAAGACACTGAATCTTCAATTTTGCTACTCCATTAATAATTTCTATGGTAGGAAATCTCTGGTATTGACATTGTGCATGTTATATATGTTATATATAGTTATATAGGTCCTTGAAGTTCCAATCTTGTCAGTCACCTGATTTGCAGGACAGTCACGAAAACATTTGCTTAAGTAACAGATCTTTTATGTTAAGGTCAAGTAACAAGTAATTTTCCTACTATTTGCCTGCTTTCTAAGAAACAATGTTACTAGTAAGCATATTTTTGGTGAAATTTAAAGGAACATAGAAAATTGCAGAACAGAGATGTTTGTATCATGTTTGTATTTCATATTTCTAAAAATCTTGTATGCTGACTAAAATTTTTTTATGTTTTAGCCTGTGCTGAATTTATCTGCCTTGCAAGGCTGATAAACTATCCATTTCACTGTGGCTAGTGCTATTTCTATTTTACATTAAACTCATTTAAAAGACTGTGTATATTTACACTCTTTGAACGAGTGACATTCTTCAGCAGCTATTTCTGAATATGAACTGTGTCTGCTTCCGTCTAAAATTTGAAACTATTCTGGAATAGTTTATTGCCTGTTTTGGTGAGCAGTTTACAGCTCTGAAGGATAACTACTGAAGTGCTAGGAAGTTATGAAATGTGTCACATGTTAGCAATTCTCCAACTATGAATTTATTTTTTTTTTGCAGTAGCTATATGAAAGTAGAGAAGTGGGAACAGTGAATGTAACATAGAAGAATTGAGACATACTGTGCTGAATGTTCAAAGTCCTTATCTAGCTTGCTAAATTTTAAAACTAGGCAAAGAGGTTTTCCATCTTGATTTGCAGTAAATTTTTCAAACCTGTTGTAGAACATTTTTCCGAGTAAGTGCATTAACATGGTTTCTCTCATTTTCAGACAAGAGCAGGTCAGTGTTCTGTATCAGAACATACACATAGCGGAACCAAGATTAATCCAGTCATATGAGCGTGTAATTAAGAACTTCATCCGAGAGATCAAACTTCAAAGCACAGAGATGGAAACTTTGGCCATAGCAGTAAAAAGGTATAGTGAGTTGTGTTTCTGGTTCAGTTCTGTAGTTTCTTTTTTTTGTCTGTCGTGCTTTGTTAGCTTAAACTACTGAGAGTTAATGCCAAAATAAGCCATGCATGCACTTGTGCATAAACACATATAGCAGCTTGCAAAGGGTTCCATGTTCATACTTTGGATAAGTTCTGGACCAAATTTTTGTAGACTCTATTGTTATGTTAAATGTCTTAAAACATTTTGACTCCTCCTCCTTGGCCACATCATGGCTAGACTTCACGAACGAAGATTTTGGAAGGCTCTATCCCCGTTTGTTACAGGCCTTGGCCACAACTTTGAGTTTTATGATGCATGTCCATTATGCTTTCATTTTAGAAACCATATTTTTGCTTCTTGAGCTTCAAGGAGCATATTTCCCTATTTTAACTACTTGGCATTTACAGTCTCACATAATTACTGCCACAACTGAACAGATTAGCTCGGAACAGAGATCTCGTGTGTGTGGGTGATGCACGTTACTGCAGTTACCCTTTTGAAGTCTCTTCACAGGATAACCTGAGGGGCCTTTTATTTTTGTAACTTAATTTTAAAAAATGCAGATATGATGTATTTCAGGCTCATCATCATCTGTCAGCTACTATTTAAAATCTAACTGACCAGTCTCTTCAAAATAATGTGGGATTTTGGTTCCCAGGCACATCAGTTTCAAGGTCTGGGCAATGTTAAAGTGTTTCCATGTATGACTGTCTAATTTGTTTCAGTTGAGGTAAGCAGGTGTGTTTCACACAGTGTTTCTGTCAAACCAGAGGGCAATTGCTAAGAGAATTTTTTTTTTTTTTTTTTTTTTTTTTTTTTTTTAATTTTAGAGCTCAGGAGAAAGCAGCAGTTCAGCTAAGTGAGCTAGAGGAAGAGATGGAACAACGGATACAAGCTGCAGAGCATAAAGTTAAAAAGGAAGTGAGTAATTTATATTTACAGAATTTCATAATTACCAAACTCTCAGTGGTCTTAAGCAGAATTGATGGCCGGGTATGGTTCTGATCCTGATGGGCTGACTCAAAGCTGCTGAAAGCAGGGCCTAGATGAAAAGAAGCAATGCATAAGATAAAAATGAATGCTCTTAATGCTTTCCCAAAGAGGAATGTCTGGTCAGATGTGATGAAAACCAAGAAAAAAAAATGTCTTTCTCTTTTGTGAGGATATGCTGACCAAGGGGAGTTTCTTTCTGAGACCAGTATTGCAAACAGATCGGAGAAAATGATCTTGCACCAGAAAGGAGTGGAAACTAGTAGGCGAAATTATGTAGAATTTAGATAATTTAGATCATTTAGTACTAATTTGTGTACTGGCCTGGAGTAGTGATCTTTCTTTCCTCTATTTTTGTCCTGCAACTACATTTTATAGAGTTGTGGACTTAAGAGAGGGTAATTGTGATAACAGTGTGTGAGGGCCTGCACCTCCCAATATTGATGGGAAAATCTGTTTTGATGTGCTTGAGTTTTAGCTGTTGTTTCAACAAACTGGCAGTCTTGATGGAAAAGTACAAAAGTCCTCTTGTCCTTACCCACTGAAAGATATATTAGAATCACATGTGACTGTGTAATTCAAAGCAGCAAAACCAGTTGTCTGCTTTGTTTTACTAAATTAATATAAAATAAGCCTAACTTTATAATATGCATAAGAGTAACAGTTCGTGAAAGTGTTCTAATGTCGACATAAGATATGCATTAATTAAAACATATACTATGGGCATAATTATTGCTCAGTAGGACACAAAATATACTGAATGTCTGTATATGTTTGCTATGGGTTCTTTCACCAGAGCATTTCCAGAATTAGAAGCAACAAAGTGCTTTCTGACAACTTGTTGATTTGAAGTAGTTCACATTAGTTGAAGGTAAATGGTGTTCTGATAGATTCACTTCAAATAGTGTATTTTTCTATACAAGAGAAAACACTCCTACCAAACCATAAAAGTCAACTGTTTTCCTAGAAACAAAATATAATGGCATAAAAATGTTCATAAAGATATCACCACTGCAAAAAAAGTGTGTTGTAATATGTTTAACTACTGGTAATGCATCTCTCAGTAAAAATAAATGTTCATTTCCAGAGAGACTAAGCAGTCATGTTTAGAAAACAAATAAATTTTCTCTGGAAAATTACTGTTTCTCAAAAAATGATAAATTCTGGAAAAGAGCCCTGAGGACTTTTTCACTGCTTTAAAAGGATGACTGGGATGTGTGCATTTGCTCGCTCTGAGAACATCTACAGTTATGTACATCTTCTGTGTATTACCCACTTCTAGTCTGTATTTTCCTTCTAAAAAGTCCTCGAATTGACACCAAGTTGCAGGTGTCATCTTCACTGTTCACATCCACCTCTAGGTAGGAAAGATGAGCTGTTGTTTCTCACAGCACTTTTTTCATTTTCACTCCTCAGTGTTCCCTTGTAGCTCCACATACTCCACCTAGTAAAACGCCCTGAGAGTAAATGTTAAGTTATTTACTTTGTAGGACTGTGCTAAGCCATTAATCTTAATGCCTGTAATCAAGGCTATTGTTTGTCAGAGTGATCTTACTCATGCTACCGTGACACCTGCCTCTGCAGAACCTATCCTGTATTTTGTTGCTTCAAGGGAAACAAATATTTACCAAACAATACTGAGAAGTCCTATATAGTTGCCAACAGTAGGGAAATCCAGCTTAAACTGATTACTTTGATTACTGTTTTAACACATAGATTTCAACATCACCTACGGGAAAGCACTGAATTCTGAGCAAAGTCCATGTGTATCTTTTCCATGTGAAAACTCAGCCTGTCTCATTGGCACCACTAGTCACTGCTACATTCTGATTTCTTGTGTTGTGAAACTGCACTGAAGTCCCTGGGGAGTGACTGAAGTGAGTCAAACACATATTAATTTATAGCACGACACACTCATTCTTCTCATTGTGGCTGATGTAGCCTCTCTTCAAAATCTCTCTGTCTTGATTAAAATAAAACTCAGAATAGTGTACTTGGTTTGATATTCAGACTGAGTACAGTATTCAGATACTGATATTCAGATTGAGTACCATATGAAACTAAAGATACTGTCATCTGCTTACCTTTTACTGACATGGCCCCGTAACATTCCAACACTTGTGAGCAAAAAAATGTAAGAGAAAAACCAAAATAAAAAACTAAGTGATGGTAGCATGGTCATGTTATTACTAGCACATTGTATGCTGAGCCATAGAAGACTGGTTTGAAAAAAGAACATAATGGCCCAATTTGTGCATGGGTGTGTATGTATTCATCTATATATACACTACACACTTACATGTATGTACAAATAAAATTTGATCAGTTTTTTCAGGTCGATTTTTATTTATTCTTTCCTAAGACATTGAAAATGTTAAGCACAAGGGACATAAGTAACACTGAATTGACTCATATCTTTGCTTCCACCTTACCATTTTATTTCTATGAATGTTATATAAGTGGATTGCAATTACAGAATCAGAATCTGTGGATCCTAAGGAAGGGACAGGTTGGCACAATGGAAAGACAAAATTGCACACATTAATTTAGGAGTGGTTTCCAAAATGATGAATGAATTTTTTAATAAATCTTTGAAACCTATCTCAACTTCTAATGAAATTGAAAATATTGCAGGAGAAGCGAAAAGCTGAAGAAGCGCTAAATGAGCTGAAGCGTCAGTATGATACTGAAGTTGGGGATCTTCAGGTGACAATAAAAAAGCTTAAAAAGGTGAGTGAGTTGAAGTCTAGTGAGTTTTTGAAGTGTTTTAAAAGATTTTGACCTTGAAGTGCTTTCCTCAAGATGGATAATCATAATTATATGTTTGTAATCTAATGTGTATTAGTAAATGGCAACTGCTGATAATTTTCAGTAATTCGTTGAAATACTTAGGAAAAAGAGCAACTGTTATCCAAATTCTGTTGTTGAAAAATTTTCTAGGTCCATAAAGTGTCCATCAAGTTGTTAACATTGCAGTTATCTATTCTTGCATTTGGTAGAAATAATCCAACATATTGCCTCTAAGTATTTATAATTTATAGATTTAAATGAAATTGGCAACCCAAATATAGTAATTTACAGTAATATAATGCCTTTTAGAACCCAACTCCAATCTGATCTTTTAATTTGATACCTAGTAGTAAGGCAAACTGAAATCTCAGATATGAGATTGTTTTTGGATATTTTGTAATCTGGGCTTAATTTTAACATTAGTTTTTGCTGTAAGTTTTAGCAGAATCATAGCAACCAATATGGATACATTTTTTATTCTTTCTATTGAATTGAACTTGAAATAGCATTTATAGAAATTTCTCACAAGAAACATAAGAGATTGTAGTACAAATACTACACAGATGAGGTAGTAATAATTTTTTATAATTTTTTTTAACTTAGTGGGAATACACCTGTTTGTGTCTTCTCAATAGTTGACTTATGTCACTAGTTATGCATATTTTATACCTAAAGAGTAGGTGAGCAAAATGCTCATTAAACGTTTTTTAATTATTGATCTAAAAATATTTTAGAAAGCCAGTGATTATTGGAGTAATGCTGCCTACCAACACAGATGGCAAAACTCTAACTTTTAAAAACTTAAGTAGCTGTAAAACCTTTCAGGGGTTACTTAATGTGATTTCCATTAGCTTTTGTGTACTTTGAATCAGAACAATCAAATACATTAATTTTGCATTTTTTTATCTGTCTAGCTGGAGGAGCAATCCAAAAACATAAATCACAAGGAAGATGTGGGTGAACTGAAAAAAAGAATGCATGATATGTTCTTGGTAAGAGATTATTATCATTAACATATTAATCTAGCCTCTGTTTTAGTCTGCAGTGCAAAATTTTATGTTTTTTTCTTTGTTTGTTTGTTTTGTTGTTGTTGTTGTTTTTGTTTTGTTTTGTTGTTGGTTTTTGTAGTGTTTTTACATTGAATACTGGTAAACTACAAAGTAAACTTTTAAAGTCATTGATAAATCTGTGAGATTCTTCAAGTTGGAAGAGTACCTGTTCTGTATAAATGCGTGCACATTCTATATATAACATTTAGAAATGGCTTGAGGCTACATAGTCCCCTTTTTGTGCAACTGAAAAGAAAAATAAAAATTCAAAGGTTTTTGCATGTTAGTTTACTGACTTCTCTGTTGATTTGGTGTTCTTTCATTTTCTTTCCCCCTCTATGCCAAGATTTTAGTGTTTCATTTTTATGTAATTTTGATGATGTTTATTCTACCATTATAATTTATGAACATTTTGTGGAGGTGACTATGACATCTAACATCTAATATCTTCCTTTTTTAAAGGAAAATCAGAAACTTAAGAAAGATCTTTTAGAAGCACAGACAAATATAGCTTTTCTACAGAGTGAATTAGATAGCTTGAAAAGCGAGTATGCAGATCAGTCTTTGAACACTGAGAGGTAAGTTACTTTTACATGATAATTTTCACCAGGGGAAAAATATCTGCTCTCTGATGTAGTTATTATGTATGCAGTTGTTTTTTTCTAAGTTTACCATAAAGGACAGGTACATGTTTGACACCATACCATCACTGCTGTTCTTATATCTGAAACAGCAAGTTCTGGATATGATGCAAACTCTCATAATTTTGCAAGAATGTCTGTTGATTTTAGTGGGACTTTAGTTAGGAATGAAATAAGAGTGTAGCATCAGCCAGTTTTTTTTCTCCGTGGCATGCACTCAGATTAGTATCTGTTTGAATATTAGGGAGAATAGTTTTGGAAGCCTTCCACATCAATCTCAAGCATTTTTTTGAAGTGAGTGAAAGGTGCTTCTAGTTACTGAATTATAAAAATAAAAGTTATAAAATACTGAGTTATAAAAATAAAAGAAAAGGATATCCTGTAAGGTATAAGTTTATTTAAACTTGGTGTTTGTTTTTTTTCTTTTCCAGAGACCTAGAAATTATCCGAGAATATACTGAAGACAGAGATAATCTGGAAAGACAAATTGAAATACTGCAGTAAGTTTTTAGTAATTCAGTTTTTTATTATCAAATTTTGTCCCAGTGCTTGTGGGGGTAAATATTTTGTATGCAAAAGAGTGGGTTGAGATTTGGAAAAAAAATACAAAATGAAAATATTGAAATGGCCTCAACTGTTGTGGAAGGTATCGTTCTTAATTGTTGTAGATGTTATTTTGCTGGTAAGACCACTATGTAACTGAGACAGTAACTCTGCATTTATTTTTTTTTCTTTTCTTAGCCCCAATGAATTTCTTTATGATAAGCTGAATGAGATTTGAGTCTATCCATGCTATCATAAAAATTATTGCCTGACTCATTTTTTTTTATTGCCTTTGCTTCTCCAGTAACTCCCTGTCTTATTTTTGTCTGGGAAGTACTACAAGTGCACAGTATTATACAAGAGGTGCACAAATTTTTGCTTTTAAGGAGGGTCACAATGAATAGATTTTTTTTATATCTTTAGTTAGTTTCTTTATCCTAAAAAAATTCTTTCTTTCAAGCAGATGAATCACATTTGTCCTTAGAGTCACCTCAGCAATATTTAGAGGGTATTCACTTTGTACAGAAATGGCTGTACTAGTTGATTTTTTTGGGGTTTTTTTTGGTGACCATTTCTACAGTATTTTTTTCCACTCAGGAGGCCAGAGATCATGCTGTAGAAGTGAGAACAGGTTTCCTAAGCTGGCACTGGGGACTAAACTTCACTGTGGCTTTTTCACATATAATGATTTTTTTTTCAGTATGTGTCAACATGTTTCTAGTTTCATCTTATTCTTTAGAAAGAAAAAAAAAGGGTTTTTTGATAAGTCCTTATTCAGTATTTCTTTGTGATAAGTTACATAGTTTTCAAGTTTTCTTTACTCCTGCAAGTTAAACTGTGTTTCCTTATTAGATCAGCTAATAGAAAGTTACATGACAGCAATGATGGTTTAAGAAGTGCACTTGAAAACAGTTTCAGCAAGTACAACAGATCATTGGTATGTATTTTTGATTTTGTTACATTGTACTAGAAGGTGTAAGAATTAACATACCAAATTTAAATTGGTGCTTCAGTGGCTAGGTCTCAGAAAAAATTGAGTTTAAATCAGTGGACTCACTGTGGAGATACTCTTGTGTAGTTGAATCTTGTTAGATTTTACTAATGCATTGTGAAATAATGGGGTTTTGTTGGAGCACAACTGCTTTCTGAGATGCTTTGGAAAGTAGTAATTTTTTTTAATATACTGTGTTCAGATGTATTTAATGAGGTAAATAAAGCAGCAGTTTTCCTTTCAAACTAAAGGAATGTGTTTGTATTGAGTTGCCTACCACTGAAAATACACTTTTTCAGAAAACTGCCCTTTCTCAATAGCAAGGTCTTCACCTAACCTGGACTTTTGTCCAGGCAAGTCACTGGGAAAATAAATAGCAGGGACTTCTGATAATAAAGACCTTAGTCAAACCCTTTTGGGCTATTACAACTCCATGGGAATCTATTATAACAGGTGTAACCAGACATCCTCCAAAACAGAGAAAGGAAGGCTTGAAAATAACGAAAAACCTACTCTACACTGCCGTTTTCCAATCTTGTGAAACCTGTTAAACTCTAAAGCTAATGATTGAGCATCATGAGTAAAGCAACTAACTTTTTTAGAAGGTTGGGGCCTGAATAATGGGCCCTCAAAGACAATATTGGACAGGAAGGAGGAAGATAGGGGTCATTGCCTGTTTCCAGTGTTCCGTGCCAATGAACATGAGTGCTTTTTTGCTGATACAAGCTACTAGATATTCACTACAGATGCAACAAGAGATACCATTTCCTTCTGTCATGCCCTGAAACAAAAGGGAGCATATTACAGAGAACACAGAAGAAACTGTTTACAGTGAATGAATGTGTAGAGGCATGGCAGAATATACAGAGTACTCTGTCACATTGTATCAGTTGAGACCTTTCCTTCACTATCTCTCTCAAGAATTAGGAGGTAGCTCTACTGATACTAGCTCAGCCAGTGACGTTTCCATTTTATTTGTAGTAGTCAACGTGCCTTGTTCTAAATATTACTTTTCAAAGTTTAGCAATTCAATCTTCAGGTGTAGTCAATAAAATAATCTTGGAATTTCCATTGTCTTTTGTGATTGAATGTGGTTGGTAGGTTCAGTATTACGGCAGCAGTAGGGTGTAAATTTTATTTGTAATAGGCCTTTTGACTCTCATCCCTATATAAAGCATGAGGTTTAATTAAATGTAAGTAGTTAAATACATATTAAAATACACATTTCTCATTTTGATGATGCATATTTCTTTTCACAACAAATCTGGATTCTTTCACTCTGTTTATCAAACTTATTATGCATTTGTTATGTATCTGTTGCAGCGATTAGCAAACACCTCACCAGGAAGTACCAATTCTAGAAGCAGTCCTAAATTTAATGGTGGACATTCTCCTTTAAATCTACGGTATGACAGGTAAGCCAGGCTTGCTTTTGTTAAATTAAAACTAGGGCATCACACTTTTCATAGTAGAGCAAATTGCTGTCAAATAACAGAGGGAATAATTCTGTCTGAATTAGAAGGAATGTGTGACCATAGCATAAGATCCAAAGTATACTGAAGTCAAGAGGAATCTTTTCAATTACTTCAGGAAGCTCAGGAAAACTCTTCTCAGTCCAAATAATGAATTTATGGAGAGTTCAGACAGCCTCTTGTTGATTTTGGACTGTTTTGTTGTATTGATTCTAGTTTGATTCTTGATCTCCCCTCCTTGTCTCCAAGAAGCTACAAAAATCTTCTGAGGACCTCTGTTACCTAGCTTACCGAGTACTTAAGACATAAAACGTTTCCGGTTGTATGTTCAGCCTGTGTGTCTTGTTTTCCCATGTACTGATTATTACAAATGTGGGCCTAATTCTTCAAAAGAAAAAGCACCCTCATCTCATACTGACATGCCAGAGCAATGAGTGCACTTGGCTATTTGTGCGGTAAAAGTCACAGAGAACAGTAAGATATCTAAATACAAATATCAAATGGTCAGAGGTATTTATTTTTGTACCTACTGGATACATGTCATTGATCAGACCTTCCTCAGATCATTGCAGAGACACTGAAGATACTGGGCAATGGAGACAACCCCAAGCACTATCAATCATGCTATAGTTTCACACTTTTTTTTTTTAAACAGCTAGATCTGCCAGCAAAAATGTGTGTCCTTACTCAGGTGATAGATTATTTTGTCTTCTTTTTCTTTCAGTGGTACTCCAAACCTTAAAGTTCTTTTTTACATTTACAGAGAGAAGAGTATCTTGGATAGGGGTGCTGTCTCTGTGAGATGTGTTTGCTAGCTGTAAAGTTTTGCTTGTCAGAAACTGTTTCCTTCTTAATGCAGCCTCTCTCTTTGGACCCTCTGCAAATTTTGAAAGGCATCCACTACTAAGTTGCATATTACATTGAGTAATTTTCTGAAGGAGTGCAATCCTTGCATTTCCACAAAAGTGAGAAATACAAGCTACTTTAGAGGAAAGCTTATGTGGTAGAAATAGAACTCACTCTTAACAGATGGCACTTAGTATCAAACGACAGAGAGTTTGTTTTCAGTACTTTGTCTCCTGACAGCAGATCAGCATTAAGAGCTATTGATTTGCATTCTGACATGTTTTGAAGCAATTTGCGCAGGTGTGTTTTTTCTTTTTTTATCTGTAACACACATCTTGCATCTAACTTGCTTTAAGCATGTATGAAATTCCCAGCATTGAATTCATGGTTCAGTGAGGTTGAAAGTTTGCTACTAAAGACCTTTATTTCAGGGAATGCCTGACAAGCTTAACTTTGTTATAGTATACGCTCTTCTTCTATATTTCAGTGATTTGGTATGGGCTCGTAGGTGCATAAATGCAAAGAGCATGTATGCTGTGGCAGTCTAAAGCAAAGATCACATTCATTCATGTGATTATTCTTTAGCCTTAAGGTATGTAAGTTAGATAGTTCTGAATGTTATTGCATGGAACAATGATACCCTGTCCCACCCATTTGGCCATGTGCAGGAATTGGACTCATTATTCACTTCATAATTTGGTGTTCTCCCCAGTGTACTCTGCTGTGCTGTGCCATCACGCTGGGAGGTCCCAGCCCCTCTGGGACCAAGTTATTTTTACAAGGATTGATGCTGACCTTGTCTGTTTTAGCAGTTCAGTGCCTCACATCCATTCCACATACAGCAAAGCCAGACTGTTTCTCTCTTCTGTGCTGTGACTTGAAGACCTTCTTTACCTCACTGTAATTTGTGCCTGTTCCTGTCTTGCTACAGGAGCATAATAATGCTTGTAGCCATCATACATTTTTTTGTAAGATTGATTATTTTAAGATTTACCCTATTAATTTTTCTTTTATGTAGTTTTATTTACATAAATAAAAGCTTTTTTTTTCCTGTAAGCCATACTGGCATTGCTGCATCCATTAAAGTATTTTTATATATTACAGCATCCAAAATGAAAACCAAAAAGCCTTTGAAGAAGGGGTGAGGGAAAAGAAAGGACTTCTGTGTAAAATCTTAGGTTTTACGTAGCCTACCAAACTATAAGAACATGTGTTTCAGTGACTTCTTCCACCATTACTATCTCCTGAACTTGGCTACTCCCTTTTCTATATTTACAGCTGTTCCTTATTAGCATGTGTGCTTCCATGGGGAAATGGAATCATTTAAATGAGACAGAGTATGTCAGGGTCATTTTATGTCTTAGAATAGGCCAAAAATTAGCTAAACCATTGTCTATAATTTTCTGCCTTTGATGTCTTCATAGTATGTAATTTTTCTGAATGTTCTTAAACAGTTTTTTTTAATTAATAAATAGACATACTGAAACATGGGAAGTCATCATCAATAACATAGATTAAATAATTTAATCTGAGCATTGTAAGAGAGATGATTGAGAAAGAAATTCTTTATAAAGGCAAGATAGGCTTGACATATGGCTTTAACATAGCATTTCTAAAAATCAGCTGTTTCAGAATGTCTCAGATTTTGTTGGGAAAAACAATTGTGTAATAGCTTATTCTTTTCCCCTCCAATATTTTCTTATTAGGTCATCTCATTCGTCTTGTGTGGATGACGATTTTGATTCTTTAGCCGTTTGCGATCCTATGCAAAGGATAAACTGTGAAGTTGACAGCTTACCTGAGAGCTGTTTTGACAGTGGTTTGTCTACCTTGAGAGATTCAAATGAGTATGATTCAGAAGTGGAATACAGGCATCAAAGGATTTTTCAAAGGTCACAGTGTATGCAAGAAGGCCTTGGTGGTGATGCTTCTGATACAGATGTAAGTGCCAGATTTACTCCTTCTCTGAGAAGGTTGGAGACAAAATTAGTTTCCTGGTTTTAAAATAAAATGGATCTTTCTCCATAGAGCAGTTAAAACTAAGTATTTGGGTTATATGTATTCAAGTAAGATTAGTAAAATTGTTTCGGAGAATGCATAAATATTTAGTTCTCTTTAAAATAAAATGTTCATTTTTACATTTTTGGTAGATTTCTGAGGTAGTAACTTCATTTTTGAACTACGCTTGGTTTTTTAAGGTTGTTAAACAGTTTGGAGAGAGGAGCTCATTTTCTAATGATAAAAAAGCAGATACTATAGAAGTAAAACAGGTTTCCAATCACTTCCTCTTAGTATGCTGTGGCAGTGAAGGAAAAAGCATATATGAGAAAGAAGAATACTCTTGGTGCATACATTGACTTACACGCTAAGTCTCAGAGAATTTAAAAATGTAAGAAGGTGTCATGCCCATTTTATTGTTAGCAAAATGGAAAGATTTAATGATGACTACATAGCAAGACTAGTATCAAACACAGTAGAACACGGGGTTTTTTAAGGCAACTCCTTTGCTGTGCTTTTAGTAGAGACATTTAATCTCTGTTTGTGGAGACTATGCTATGAATAGTGTTGATTACAGCTGTGCTGTATTTAGTTTAGCTTGAGTAGTAATATCATAGAGAGTAATGTCTTGTAGGTAAATTCTTAATATTTGTAAAATAGGCTTTGAAATAAAATATTTGTTTAATTGTTACTGTTCCTAAGCTGAAATTTTCATATGGAAATTAGTTTGCTCTATCAGAAAGAGTACTAAAAGAATGTATGCCAAACCATAAACATGTTTAAGCACAATATGTAGGCTATAGTCAACAGCAAATGGATAAGAATAAGAACAGAATAATCACAGTATTTTTACTAGAATTGCACAGCTCTATTTGGTCATTCATCTCTGTTTAATCCAAATTGTTAAAACAAATGTTTTAATGAATCTTGCCTGTACCTTTCCAAAAAAGTGTACTTTTTACACCAGAGAATTAATCTGTACTTTCAGGTTCCAGAGATCAGGGATGAAGAAGCGTACAGTCCTGATAACAGTACTGCAGTATTAGACTGGAAGCCCTCACGACCAGTAAGTCGAAGCAGCTCAATTGCTTCAACAAGGAAATACATATCTGCTCTCACTCCCCAGGTAACCAGTTCTTTAGTGGAAAAAGGAAAAAGAACAATACAGAGAATATACTTTCTATATAAGTTGCAATAGAGGGATTATTTTTATTTTCAGTCAGATGCAACCGAATGCACTCTAAAATACCCCAGTTCAGAGAAGGCTTACAAGATTGTTCTTACTGGAGATGCAGCAGTGGGAAAATCCAGTTTCCTTATGAGACTTTGCAAGAATGAATTTCGAGGCAATACCAGTGCAACTTTGGGTATAGTTGTTGTTCTTTTTAAAGTATTTAAATGAATTTTATTGCTGTTTTGCAGAAATGGGTGAAAAGATTCCATTTGTGATTGCTTGCTAGGATTGCCTGTGTATACAGACAGTTTCTTAGGGTGGGAGAGCTAATTGAGTTCTAAAGCTTAGCAGTGCCTAACAGTTGTTTGTAGGTTTGTAGGGTCCTGATCTAATTTAGTTTTTCTTTACAAAACCTGTTTCTGAACAACACAAAGCACCAGAAAAGAGAATTTCAGTATAAGGAACTTCTAGTGTTTGTATGAATGTTTTTGCATTTTTATTGCATTCTTGTTTTCTCAGCTCTTTCCTCTTTCCTTAGTATTTTGTAGTATCCTTTTATACTATTTTTGTCTCAATTTCTTTGAAGTGTTACTGAAGCTTTGGTTTAAATACAGCTAGAGGGATTTCTGACTGACATCTTGTGTATACTGTTATAGCTGTCAACTAGCAAACCTGTCTTAACAATTCGGCAGACTTAATTTTTCTTCTAATTGAATTATAGTTATATATTTGTTTTATTGCCTCTGAGTCAGGATTTTTTTTCCAATTTATCTTTTTTTCTCCTTGGCATTTGAAAGAAAGTCTGTTTTATAAAATATTTTTGTTTCTTTGATAAAACTGTTTAGCAGAATAAAAGAGAGAGAGGTCTTATTTGCTGTTCAGGATGCCATTTGTATCAATGCTTCTGGGAAAATGCTTGGGCAAAATATTTTTTGAAATAGTTTTCTAAAGACAGATACCTTCAGGGGATTATTGCAGTTCAAGAGTATGTGAACATCTGAAATCTCATAACCTATTAAAAGAGATGAATTTTGAAATAACTGTTGTATGTAGCATATAACTTTTCATTTTCTGTGGTTTTTTAAAGGTTATTGATGTTTTCTGTTAGACTATACACATGGTTTTTTTCAGGTGTGGATTTTCAAATGAAAAGACTAATTGTTGATGGAGAACCTACAGTGCTACAACTGTGGGACACAGCAGGGCAGGAGAGGTTAGTGATCCTTCACACTTGTCTATTCTGAATTCTTTTGTTTGTAAAAGTCATTTGCCTTTTTTCGCCTAGGTGAAAAAAATCCACTAATGGTGTAGTCCTACAGCAAGTCAATATGGCCATATGTAAATACCTATAAACAGAAGTGATTTTTCTCTTCTGAGACTCCAAGACAGGTGCAATGTTTTTTTGTTAGCTTTGGTGATGCTTGAGGTAATCTTTTTTCCCCACAGAGAGAAGTCGTTAAGGTTCACCACAGGATTAATTAATTAAATCCACGTGTCCCTCTTTTGCAATGCAAAAAGATGCACATTGTTTTTCTGTTTTTAGTCTTTAGCTTTCTTTGTCCTTACACACTTTTTAAGCTGGATTTTTCTGAGACATTCCCTTCCCTTCTCCCTCCTCTCCTCTTCTTTCTTCTCCTCTTTGAAAATCCTAGTCCTGATTTGCATTGTATTTAGGATATGAAAACTTCTTCCCAAAAACTTTAGAATTTTGCCGTCTCTTCACAGATTGCTGAATAGATATCCAAGATTCTTAAATTATTACATAAAGTTTCTTCTATGTCATCTTTTCTTGAGAGCCATTACTTCTTTACTGACAGCCTTCGGAGTTTATTGAGAGATTAATCTAGCACCTTGGAAGTCACTTTAATCTGTTCATTGACCAAAATTTCTGTTGGGCTGTATGAGCTTACTTTTACCTGAATGAGTGATTATGTGAAGCGGGGAAGCAGTGGCCCAATCGTTCTCCTTCCATGTAGTAAATTTGTGAAGAATATTTTAATATCCAGTGTAAATACAAAGTTGCTGTACTTGGTTAAATACATTGTGTAAAGTTCATGTCAAAGATAGTTAATCCCTAGAATAATTTTATTGGTTTCCTATCTTTTTTCAAAGGAGGTAAAGTAACCCCCTCAATTTAGGAAGTTACATGTAAGTGAATCATAGAATCATAGAGCCATTAAGCTTGGAAAAGACCTCTAAGCATATTGAATCCAACTGTTAACTTAATACTGTTGTATTCACCACTAAACCGTGTCCCCAAGAGCCACGTCCACACATGCCTTTGTGAACACTTACAGAGATGGCGATTCTGCCACTTCTCTGGACAGCTCATTCCAATGGCTGACCACCTTTTCCGTAAGGACATTTAGTGAAGAAAATCTAATCCTCCCTGGCACAATTTGAGAACAGATTATCTGTGAAAGAAACACTGTAGATTGTTTTGATATACAAAATATTGGTTGTTGTTTAGGACAGAATCCTGTTGATCCTTAGGGAGCACTTGTAGACCTTCATCAGCAGTTTTTAAGAACTACTTACAAAAGAAGCTATGAGAAAACTCATCATGTAATGTGCAGAGAATCTTACAAAGTAGTGAAATTAAGAAATGCTCCTTTCTTATTGATGTTAAATTTAATTATTTTTTAATATGGCCTTATGCAGACCTTTTTTTTCTTAAAGATTCCGAAGTATTGCTAAATCATACTTCAGAAGAGCAGATGGTGTCTTGCTACTGTATGATGTAACATGTGAAAAAAGCTTTCTTAACGTGAGAGAATGGATGGATATGATTGAGGTAATACCCTTAAGTATAATACAGCTTATAAGCTATGTTTCACTGCATTGTTAACCTTATTATTTATAAAATTTTATTATCTGTAAATTGTAGTTAGCCAGACTGCAGGCTCTCATAGGAGTAAAAACTACATTGAAGTCCTAAATGCATCCTGACATATTCAGTTAGCATGCAATATGATACATCTTTGTGTAAAAGGTTGTCGTGGAATCACAACATTTCCTTTGGAAATGAACATGAGAACCCATTTCAGATACCTTCTTGTGGATGGCTTGAGTATTCCTTGGAGTCTTTGCATTTTAAACCAATATTCTTATTTTTTTATTTGATTGTGAATTTGCATTTAATGCAAAGGCTTTTTCTCTTGTGCTGAAGTTGTTTAATAGGACGAAAGTGGCAAGCAAAATATTTAGTTTATCTTCTGAAAGCATTTTTTCTAAATCATGGTAGTCACTTTTCCCATAGTGATTTTGTCATATAGCATTTGGATGCAATAATTAATTCCAGTAGACTAACTTCACATATTAAATGAACTGTCAGGAAGCAGGGCTTATAGGAATGGAAGCATGTCTTTGCAGGCTGATGTTTAAGCTGACTGCTTACATATTAAATGGTTTACAAAAAGTTCTCAGCATAACTTTCATAATTAGCCAGCTTTCTCTGATAGTGCACAAGACCTTTTGTGGGAAAGAAATCAGTGTGACATGATGGTGTTAGTTACTTTTTTGTATACTGAGTGTTCTAGCAATAAGGAAATAAAATTCTCTTTACAGGATGCAACTCACGAGAATATTCCAATTATGATGGTGGGAAACAAGGCAGATCTCCGTCAAGCTGTTACAGAACAAGGGCAAAAATGTGTGCCTGTAAACTATGGAGAAAAGCTGGCTATGGTAAAGTTGAAGTGTACCTCTTTAGTATAAAAGGATCTTAAGAACTTTAATCTGAAAACCACATAAGAAGGTAGTAAACAGAAATAATTTTCTGGTCATTTGTCCAAATCCAGTAATGAGTATTCATGGATACTTTTCATTAAAACTATCCTGTTTTACTGGTGTTTTCTGGGTTAAATCACATCTCAGTGTCTAATAAGCTTAATTTTGTTATTGGCTGGGATAGTCTTCTCAGTCTTTTTTGTGAAAAAAGTGGTTGGACTAGGAGACTGAGTTTGCTCATTCAAATATGAAGCATGCTATTTAGTTAGGCTTTTCGACTGGCTTGTGTCTGTCCTGGTTTTAAGTGGAATGGTTTCACTTCAAGAGGCTAGCTTGTATTTCTGCCACATGTGCAGAAACAAAAAAGGAATTCTCTGCTATGAATAGAAGTGTGGACAATTTTTTTTGCATGTATTTATATGGGGGCTAAGAGATGCATAAATCCTATATTTGGCAGAAAAATATAGGGAATTTTAAGAGTCTTGAGTCTCTAAGTGCTTGTACAATTGCTTGATTGAACTGCAGCAGATACCATGTCTGTTACTTATGGAATTATGTTTTTGGTTAACCTAGACTATCAGATGCTGTAGTTTGAGTAACTAACAAACTAGATTGAGTAACCTGTCCTAGGAACTCTCTTCATATTTTGCAATCTTGTGAACAAGAAGATTGAGTTTGGAGTTAAGAACTATGATATGTTTTTTATTCCGTTTATTAATTCAGACTGTACTAAATATAAAACAGATATAATTAAGAAACAATTACTGTTTTCTTTCACAGTACTAAAGTGAATATTTTGGAGAATTAAGAGCATTAAAAGAAATCTTGTTGATTTAAATGTGTATCATCATTGTTTTGTGTTACTGAGGAAACCATTTGTAAATAAATGTACATGTTCACATGGGAACCATTTCAAATTAGTTGGCTTAACATTTTATTTTTACTCGTAGACTTATAATGCGCTATTCTGTGAAACAAGTGCTAAAGATGGATCTAATATTGTAGAAGCAGTTCTTCATCTTGCTCGGTAACATTATTTCTTTTTTCAAATAAACACAACTGAGTATATTTTGTAAAAAGGATATAGTATGTGAATATACATACAAAGTCATACATGTAGTTTTAAGATTGTACCAACATAAAAAAAAAAAAATTAAAGAGAATACCATGTTGAATTGTTATAGATAAATGAAGGACAGGATTTATTTTCAGTTTAATCAAGTAACATTTTTGCTCGCAAATGTTACAAAGCTATCTCAATAATTAATATTCAAATTAGAGCTCAGTTATGGAGCCCACCATTTTAAAACCTATTTGGTGAATGAATTACATTTTTAATTGTACATGGATTTACTTTCCTAATTCTCTCTTAAATTATTTTCAGATGTGTGTAATTCTATGTATAAATAGTTTTTAATTCTTTCCAATATATTAATATATGCTCAGTTCTGTTACTGACCATTCTAATTACACATTTTTCTTTGATGTCCCTTTCTCTGAATTACTTACAAGATAGAAATTCTTTATATATTCATTTAGCGCCCTGGTATTTCTGTGATAATGTGTGAACCAAACATTACACTTCCATTACCTTTCCAAATAATTTTTTATTACAGTATAATTTTTCAAGGCTGATGTTCTGTAATCAGTAATCACTCATACATGCACAACTTTTAAGCCCACATTTATAAAAAACATCCAACAATGTGCATTTTTATTCTGAAGATAAATTTATACTTGAAACAGAAGTTATTTAGTTTTATACTTTCAACTATGAACGTATTCTGAAGCAAATAAATAAAAATTCTCAAAAGAAAAGGCATATCAGAACATTGGGGAGTTATTAGGTATTAGGTATAATTGTATTTTTGTGACTAACTATGAATTGCACAGAAATATCCATATGATTCCAAAATTAGAAACTTATGAGATCTTGATTCTGTGCACTAACTCCATAGTTTTAGCCATGCAACAGATGGTGGTAAAACTCTGTAAGATATAGTGGGAGAAACAGAACAGTGAACATGGATAGAAATATTATAATTGAGTGCATTTTTTGTTTGGTGATTTTTTTACAGTGAAGTGCGAAAACGAAGTGATAATCAAGATGATACGAGGTCAGTAACCAGCCTGGCTGGGACACCTGTCAAAAAATCGGCACTGACAAAAAACTGTTGCAATGTTTAAGAGACACATAATTTTCCTGTCTTAAATAACTTGTGTATTAAAAAGAACCAAAACCAAACAACAAAAACCAAACCAACAACCAAGCCAAAATATTTCAATAATGTTTCCTTTTAATTGTGGATTTATACATTTGTGTTTAGAAATTGTGCATTATGTTAAAAATCTGGACTCTACTTTCTATTCATTCATATTTGTACAATTGCTTCACTCCATAGACTCCGGTTTCACTTGTCTGAAGTAATATAATATAATGAAATGAGCTCAGAATAAGTGCTGCAGTGGTCACAGCATACAACATTGCAATACATGTTGTTGTCTGTACCTGCTTGTTTCTCTATGGCGTGAGTATTTCAGAACTTAGTAGTATCATATGTCACTCATAGGTAAAGAGAAAATTACAGCTTTAATTAATCTTTTTGCTCATGTCTGTTTATCTAGTTTTTGAGGCCTTCAGTTACGTGTTGAGGAAACATTTCTTGAGAAAACTCCAAACCATTAAAAGGCTGCCCAGGTCCATGTAAACCCTAAGTTTAGGGCATGAAGCAGAATGATCTCTGTCGGGAGAAGACAGTGGCAGGTGCATGGGGTTCTGGTGTACTTTCTCAAAAGCTGGTGAGTTAGAATGTGTTTTGTTTTGGGAGTTGGGGTTTGTTTCAGAACGGAGAAGTATACTTTGCATCTGATCTGACACAGCTTGGAGGTGAAAGAAGCATTTGTGTGGACTGTTACCATTCAAAATTCCAGAGAGAATGTAACATCTGTTATATTCATTGCTGAAATGAATTAATGATCCAACCTGCCTGTTTGTTTAGACTTTATTAGTATTACAAAGTGATAGGGATTGTAATTTTCCCCTTGTTTTTTCAAATGTCTTCCGTTCAGTCAATAATTGAGGGATTGTAATAATACATAGGAGTCTGATTTAATGGATTTTTTAATCATTTTAAAAGTTTTAAACTATGTGAAAGAATTGCTGCACATGCACGAGCATCTGTATAAGCTGTTCATTAAAAGAAGATCCTGAAATGAACAGCAACCACTTACCTTAATGAGAATTCCTTTGCCTGATTTTGGGAAAGTTCTGAGAAACTCAGCAGGGGGTGGTAGCTTTAAGTGTCAGCATCTCTAAAAACTGAGTTATTATTGCTTAAAATAATTCCAAAGAGTTCTACGGTATAGTAAAAATTGTAGGTATTTATACAGTTATCTGTCATGATCCAGTTCTTCTTAGCTTTCACTAATTTTGATCAGAATGGGATCTTTTCAGAACCAACAGGTTTGTCTCCTCTGTATCTATTAATAACACATCTCCAGGCTAGCTCCGTAAATCAACCTTGGATAAAGTTTTATGGACTGATTGGAAACCCATATGACTAGCAGCAGTTACTGCATTTTATCAGCATTGTATTTGAACACTGTATAGTCTGTATTGTGTTACCTGTTGTATAAAATGTAGAGTTGTCAAAGACAGGATGATTCGTAATTTGCAAAAAAAAAGTTTAAAGTAGGAAGAGCAGTGTTTTTAGGCATCCTTTCAAACTCTTACCAGAGCAGTTAATCCTCAGGTAATTATCTGGAAGTTTGTTCTTAACAAGAGAGAAGAATCTAGTACTGGAATGAATAAGACATTTTATTTCACAGTATAGTAATTTAGCTCTAAAAGAGAAACATATTTGGTAGTTTGGGTTTTTTTTAAGTACTAAGAGAATCTTCACACACTACTTTATTCCATGTGGGAGACTTCAGGGTTGTAGCGTATTCCCACACAGCAGTACAAGAGGCCTCACTGTAGTCCTGAGACTTATCTGGAGCTGATGGCAGAGAACAAAGGACACTCAGGTGTATGAGAAATATGCTTAGTCACATACATTTTGTCTGCTATTAACCCTGTACTATTTAAACAAGAAAGTTACAGTTCCAGTTAGCTTTTCTGAGGAGAAAAACCATGCTGAACTGACTGCATTGATGAGGGCGTCTTCTGTGTCCTTCTCTCTCTCCATTAGTGAAATTGAAGTAGTATTAATTGATTGTATTTGCTGATAGTTCTTCCTGCAACATTAGGGAGAAGAGAGGAAGATGATCCAGTGCTTGGTTTCTAAAGTGTGACCTTACAACATGTACATATTAGCATTTTCTCAGGATAAGAAGGTAGTGATTATAAGTTTTCTGAAAAATCCATGTACTAAGAGCCTCAAAAATAGTCAAGAGAGAGAAGAGCTAACTAAAACTTTCATTCAAATAAAAGGGAGAGTTCCTTGGGCATTCCCCCAGTGAGGTCTCTCAACTTGACAGGGGTCGTAGCCTCTTTTATCCACTCTGCCCAAAACTCAGGTCCCTCCCTGTTTCTCCATTGAGTGAGGTATTCCGGGGTTACAGACTTTCTGACATGCCTACTACATGTCCCCCATTGCATGCTCATTAAGGGCTTTGAGGGTCCTCAACATTTTCAAAATGGAGGTTACTGCATATTTATCCCTTGCTGCTGATTGGTTTCCATGTTCTGGGCACTGTGTTATCTCATGCTGGGCAACTACATAACTTTTCTATCCCCTACTACTAAGTTAACTGTGACTACTACAGACTTTGCAAGAACATTCTACTTATTCCTAATAATCCTCCCTTTTTTTTTAAAATTATGTTCTTGCAAAAGGGAGTACCATTTTGTTAATGGTTGTCTCTTGGTCTGCTTCAATATCTAAGGTTAAAGTTTCTTGAGAATGAGTAGTTGGTAATTCTCATTTACACACTATTTTCAGAGCCATTATTTTCTGTCCTTTAATTGCTATTTCAGGGTCATTAGGCATAGCCACTATTTGCATCCTCTTCATCACATATGCAGTAAGTTGCATAAGACAAGGAATCATACAAGGCAGGAAAATTAAGGTAGCTTGCCTGCAAAAAACAAAGAATAGTATTTTCTTTATTGCTGGTCCAACTGCAAGCCATGAAAACATATCTATGCCCCACTCCTTCCAAGATTCAACTGGGACATGGACTAACTTTCGGATTTGTTTTGTTATTTATTTTACTGTTTTTCCATTGTCATCGATTTGCAGGCAGCAATTTGAGTTATTTAATTTTCCACATACTCCACTTTCCACTGCTAACAAAAAATCAAAAACCATTTGGTGTTTAAAGTTGGCAGTTCTCATTTGGGTTACTTGGTCTCCCAGCAAGTCTAAGACATTAGCTGTTTGATTGGCAATAATCTCTAATATAGCTTGGAGTCAAATTATATGATTTAAATTATAGATGGGCTCTCTTGTTCCATGAATCAATTCACGGGGGTTCCGTGATATTGTTATCCTGTGGCTGTTAGCTGGGACAAATGGGTTCGCACACATTTTATTGATATGGCTTCTGCCTTACATATGTAGGGTAAGAACTTGCAAGGAAGAGGGCGTAACTGAGGAGGAGTAAAGGAGGAGCATGCAAAATAGGAGGATGACGCAACCATATAGGGAAGGGTTCTGCAATGCAGCAAAGATTTACCAGTGGGAGGGCAGGGTTCAAGACCATGAGGGATAAGGGAATTTTCCAGAACTTACAGTCCACTGTATATATCTATAGGGGATTACACAATAAACTGAGAAACATAATGTGAAATCCGAAATGCTTATTCTTAAACGGTTCATATCCATTCATACGATGGTCTCATCTTCGCAGGGAATCTCGGGCTCAACACTTCTCTTCCAATCTTCATATTCATCTTCTCCCACATTATCCCAACAAGAATCCTGAAATACTTATAGTGGTGGGCTGTTAGGAAAGGAAAATGCTCTTTATTTTCAAGTCCCGGAAGATGAGGAACTCTGGGATAGTCTCTTGTCCAGTGTAAACTGGGCACTTAAAGGACACTGTTGGATCAACAGTGACCAACACACATATAGAAGATTGCCTGAAAATTGGACGAGGAATTTGTTTTGTAGGATGTATTAAACCCTTATTCTTTTTTTTTAAACCATATACAGTTTGGGAATTAAAGTATTGATGATTAAAAAAAAAAAAAACAAACGAGAACTTAAAACCTCCCTTACAGGAGGAAGAAAACAAAAAATGGAAAAAGAATGAGTGGACTTCTCAAAGGATTATTGAGCATTATGGACCAGCTATTTGGAACTTTGAGGTTTTGCAATTTCTTCCCCTAGTGCTAAAAATCTGTTTCCTTCTATTTGACCAGCGCACAGGTGATAACAAAGAAACAGGATCAAAAGTTTTATCTTCATTTGACTGTCAATAGGAAGGTCCATTTGAGTACACATTAAGTAGATGCTCAGTGGGTAGATGCAGGAACTTCTTCCTAAATCAACACAGACTCTTCTACTCACGGTTTCTGTGTAGTATAAGTTTAGGCTTTGCTTCTTTCTCTTCTAGTTGTGAAGTCCAGAACTCTGGTGCTCTAGAAGGTTTTACTTGTGTATGGTGAGTCCACCCATCCTGAGCAGTCTTAACTGCTCTCTCTGTGGTCAATAACACCTAATATGGTCTGCACCACTTTCCCACCAGTGGTGTTTGCAGTCCTTAGCTAGAACCCAGTCTCCTGGACAGATGTCATGAACTGTGAAATCCAAGGGTAGAGTTTGTGCCAGCTGGGCTTCCTGTTGAAGAGATTTTACAACAGACAGTATTCTGGCCACATGCTGCTTTATGAACAAATTTCTATTCTGCTTTCTTTTTGTAACCCAACCGGATAAGGGATTCCAGACATTATCTCAGATGGAGATAACTTAAGACTTTCTCGATGTTTAGCTCTTATCCTTGCTAAAGCTATAGGTAAAAGCTGAGTCCAGGGCATTTTTGTTTCCATTACTAATTTTAAAAGATATTTCTTGATCTCTCCATTCATACATTCTACTCATCCAGAACTTTGAGGGTACCATGGCATATGTAAAACAATGTCACAAAAGGCTCAATGTCACGTACATTTTAAGAAAGGCCTCTGCTAGTGCTCAGGAGCCTCAATGACTCCCTTCATGAAGTTGTTTTGATATTTGTAAGGCCAATGCCTTCGGTATCCATTGTTTACCCTTTTTTGTGAACCAATTTTCCCCTCTATTTTCTGCTCCACTGTTTTTAATTGTTTCCAATTCTTGTGGCAAGAAGGACATTCCTTCTGGCAATAATTGAGTCACTGGTTGGAGGGGAAATACTTCAGATACCTCAAGCAAAAGTGCTTTTTTCCAGGCCTCTTCATCTGCTAATCTATTACCAGTCACTTCTGCAGAAGTGTTTGATGTCCCATTTGATGTTCTTTAACATGGACCACTGCTATGTGTTGAGATAAATCCATGGCTTTCAATAATCTCTGTATCAAATTCTCATATGCTAGTGCCTTGCCTCTACAGGTTAAAAGTCCCCTTTCTTCCTGTAATTTCTCAAACATATACGCATATTTGGAATCCATATGGACATTAACTGCTTTTCCCTGGTGTATTTCACAAGCTCGTATCAGAGCTAATAGTTCAGCTGCTTGTGCTGACTAGATATAAGGTAATCTACCACAGTCTTTTAATTGTTCTTCTTCAATTATAGCATATCCAGTATAACGCTTCCCTTCTGTCACCTGTGAGGATACATCAATAAACACATTTTGTCGTCTAGATAGTGGACCATGTGTTAGGTCAATTCTAGTTCATGTTTGAAGACCTGTTACCTGAATGCAATCATCAACTATTTCAGGATTTTGTTCATCCCTGTTTAAACAAGAAGCTGGACTGAAACTTTTTCTACCTTTGACTTCTAAATCATCTTACTCCATTAGACAAGTTTCATACTGTAACAATTGTGCATTAGTCATCCACTTAGAGCCTTTTCCTGTTAATAGTGCTTTAACTTGGTGTGGGACTCTTAACTACTAAGTGTCCTCCCTTAGTTAGCTTTCTAGCCACAAGCACCATTTTTGCTGTGGCTGCATGACTTTGAAGGCAATGTGGCCATCCCGTAACTACTATGTCATAATTTAGAGAAATAGGCCACTGGCCTTTGAGAGCCACCATGATCTTGTATTAACACTCGTTTTGCATGTCCCTGGTTAACATCTACATATAATGCAAATTCTTTGTTCAGATCTGGAAGAGCTAGGGCAGCAGCTTGAATTAATTTACTCTTTAGTTACTTAAATCTCCTTTTCCCTTCAGGTATCCAAATAATCACTTCTGGATTTTCTTGAGTCAACAAATCATACAATGGTCTGGCTATTATTGAAAAATCTTCTGTCCAAGTCCTACAAAATCCCACTAATTCTAAAAATTCTTTCTTCATTTTTGGAAGAGGAATTTCCAAGATTTCTGTAACCCTTTCTGGATCTACACATTGTGATCCATGCATTGTAATATGTCCTAAATACTTAACTTCTGTCGCTACCATTTGATCTTTCTTTTCAGAAATTCTTAGTCCTTTTTCAGGTAGAAAGTTAAGCAATTTTCACAGTAGTGTCTTCTACTTGTAAAATCATCTACATACTGCAATAACCTGACTTGTGGAGGTAATGAGAATTCATTTAAAAGATTTTTTAAAACTTGTCCAAATAAAACCAGTGATTCAGTATATCTTTGTGGCAGTGCGGTCCAAGTAAGTTGCTGTTTAATTACTTTCCCTCCTTTTTCTTGTTCCCACTCAAAGGCAAAGTATAGTTTACTATTGTCTGTAATTGGGCAACCAAAATGCATCCTAACATGGAATAATAAGAGTGAGAAGAGAGAATTTGATTGAGAAAAGTATGAGGATCAGGAACCGTAGGGTGTCTAGGCTTATTATTCTTAAATCTTGAACCATTCAGTAACTTCCATCTGGTTTCCTCACTGGTAAAATTGGGGTGTTATAAGGAGACATACATGGTTCTAAAAAGCTAGCTTGTCATAATGGTTGGATTATAGGTTTTAACCTTTCTCTTCCTTCCATTGAATAAGGTAGTGCTTCTGGGATACAATCTGATCCTGATGCCTTAAAATAATCTGTTCTGTATTTAATTTTCCATATTTCCCAGATACTGCCCACATATTGGGGTTTACTTTTTCATAAGCCCCTGATGATAGCTTATGGAGTGTAATGATTGTATTTGCTTCGGTTTTATCCTTCACAATATTAATTTGCATACCCACTTTTGCCATCAAATCTCTCCCCAGCAGATTACAATCACAATTTGGAACAAAAAGGTCATGCATTTCAAATTTATTTTCTATGTCAGCCAGTATAGGTTCCAGTATATGTACTTTCTCATCCTTCCACTTAACCTGTTGAATAGTTAAACTTCCTTTTGATAATCAACCTCCTTTTGGCAGAAAATTCAGTGTAGATCTAGAAGCCCCAGTATCCACTAAAAACTGCACTACCTCTCAGTCAGGGCCCAATAGGCAGTTTATCAAGGGTTCCATGGTGGTGGGCTCGTAATATGAAGGGAACCTGTGACACCCCTAGCAATCCATTTCCATTAAATGGTGGATCTCCTCCTCTTCTTGTTCTGTCTGCTTCTGTGGCCATTCTTTTTTTCCAGTGTCCCTCTTTCTTACAGATTGCACATTGGTTCCTCCCTAACTTAGGTCATACTTGAACTTGATTAGGAGAGTGAGGGGTATTGTGAGAGGATCTGGGGGTCCAGTCTCTCCCTCTTGCTTCCCCTTGTCCTCTCTTTCCTCCTCATTTAGGTTGAAGAATCTGGGCCATTACCTTAGCCTTTGTTTTGGCTTTCTCCTTGTCCTTTATTACATAAATTTGTGTTTTTCATATTAGATCTTCTAAAGATTCTGCTACTCTTCTTCTCTTTGAACCCTTTATCTTACATCAGGTTGTGATTGAGTGACACATTGTACCTTCAATGAATTTTCAAATGCAGGGCTTTCAGGGTCTAACCCTCTCTGTTTTCTCAAGGCATCCCTAAGCCTTTCTAACCACTGGGTGGGGCTCTCATCTTTCTCTTGTTATAGAGATATAGCTTTAGACACATTACCCGTTTGTGGCACTGCTGTTTTTATTGCTCTAATTAAATATGTGTGATAATCTCTTAGATGACCTAACTGCACCTGGCTGTTTGGGTCCCAGTTGGAATCTGCTTGTGGAATAGCATTGTCCACAACAAGACCATCCTGTCCTACTACACCCACAGCTTGTGGGTGCTCATCTTCCCAGCTTTGCTGTGCCTTTTGTAAAATCATTCACTTTTCCTGAAATCCAAAAAAAGATTCCTAGGAAGAAATCTCAGTCTTTCCAAGTGTAATCTGCATACCCTAAATATTCATCTATTCTCTCTCCTACTCCTGTAGGATCCTCCAAATGAAATGAAAGCCCTTTCTTCAATCCTGAGTTGCTAGTGGCACTATTACAAACCTAAAACCTCCTCCTTGGCCTCCTAATGGGACCCATCTCAGTGGCATTTGCAAAACTCTTTCTCCAGCAGCATACTGTGTTCCTGCTCTTGTCTTTGGGGGAGACAGGATTGAATTGCTTCCCACCTCCCCCTCCTGCAGCATCTGCAAACCCCCCTCTTTGACAGGAAACCGAATTCCAACCCTTGCCTTTGAAGCAGACAGGGTTGAGTTACTTCCCCCCTCTTACTTCCTGTCACCCTTCATCCTTAGGGCACTGAGAATTCCCCATTCCCTTTCCTGTGAATGACTTCATGGTTCTGACTGTCTCCTTGATAAGGTGGAAGCAATACTTGCAACACATCCCACTTAAAATTTTTTTCCTTCTCTCTCTCACCTTCTCCCCAATTTTCTCTTTCCCTGAAAGGACACAACTTCACAAAAGAAGTCTCTTTTGACTACATGTCACCACAACTCCTCTCAGTTGTTTCCATCCCACTATCATCCAAAAAGGCACACAGGGTCTGAATAAGATCCTCATCATGAGACCCAAAATGCGGCCACCTAAACCCACGAGGTAGTGAGTACTTTGGCCAGTGAAAACAATAGTATTTTACCATTAATTCCTTAGTCACCCCTTCTGGTGAACTTATACTGTCCCAAAATTCCAGCATTTTACCCAAGGGACTGTGTGGGGGTATACAA